GATAGCGGACGGCCCACCTCTCATCGCTGTAGGGAACCCATGAGGATACGCCGCAGACCTTTCCTCTGTGTTGGTATAAGATCCGGTTTGGATGCAGAGACGGATTGGAGGGTGCGCGTTTTGAAAGTCTGTCGCTATTTTGGCACTCATTGACCCTGTAGGATACTGGGGGCGACATTTCCTCGCTGCAAATCATCGCTACCACGAGTTACGAGCTCCATCGATGCCTCAGTCACAGGCTCACCTCGAACCGTGAGCAATATCCTAAATGTATCGAACATTATACGAGACAGGCATTACAGGCTCTCTTTGTACTTGCCGGAACCATACGTACGCATACAATATCATTACCGCCATATCGTTCCGTACACATTTCGGTTGCATTCAAGAAGTTTGTCACCCACATTTGGTCCACGTTGGTTGGAGGCCTGGCAAAGGGACTAGCTGGTGAAGATGAGGAATGGTTCGACCCCGTCTGTCCAAAAAATGGTTCATTGCTATTGCTGGCGACCGCTGTAATACTTGGGGAATGTTTCTCTGAAGAGGAACGTAACTGTGGTAGAGTCAATTCTCCATTTACAGCACTTTCCAGCTGACCCTGCCACAAGGTCCCCACGCGCCGTTGGCAGAGTCTGGCGACCTTTATCCGGCTTCTACATCCCTCCCTGCTTCTCGTTATGTAAGATCGCGCTGCGCAGCTGGTCCTGCCATTCTTTATGGAGAGCAGCTGGCGGCCATCTGATAGTCGGTAGGTTCTATTTATACTACGCGACGTAGTCTTCAGTGACTGATAATCATAGATCTCATTTGGCCCAGCATGACGCGTCATCTCAATGTTGCAGTGACCGATATCCCCGGCCCTCCCAAGTATCGGTCATTTGTCGGAGCAAACGGTTTCGTACCACGATAAATATAGGACGTGCTCAAATCTAGATGCAATAGTTGCCGCCGTTCTCTAACAGAGAAAGCACGTCCTTTAATTATCGGGACGACCCGGAAGAGAAAACTCACAGACAAGATGGAGATGCTCCATCCAAGAGCGACTGAACATACAGTTAGAGTATCGGCCAAAGCTATGGACCTTACGCAGGAGGGACTTTTGCATGCCTTCCTGTACCTTTGAGTCATCAGGAACGCATAGGCGAAAGATTCATCAGGCGACGACCACATCACCTTCTAGACACTCGACACGGATTTTTGGCGAGTAATCAAGAGGTTCCCGCTCTGAATAGTTATTAAGTCCGGGTCAATATGGTTTCTACGTTACTCCTTTTTTTAGCACTGAAACAACTCACACGTTCCTCTTAGAATTTGTACTGCCGTTTTCCTCCGTGGTTAATCCAGCACAGTCCCTCTCGCCGGTATATAAGCCTGTACATGTCGAGGTCAAAGCAGCATTCGTTGTCTGCTTTCCCTCCTTTATATCTTGCACAAGATGTTCGGGCACGCCTTCTACCAATTCGTCTTTGCTGCCGCCATGCTCGCGCTTGTGTCGGCTATTCCGACTAGGGAGCTGGAGGAGCGCACCAGCTGTACTATCTCTTCTGTTTCCACGGCGTCGTCCATCTCCACCTGTTCGACTGTCACTATTGAGGCCTTCACCGTAGCTAGCGGAAGTATGTATATGTCTCCCTTCTATGAAGGACCTTGCTAACGACTATACTTCCTAGGTACCTTGAGCCTCTCCGTACGTGGCTGATTTTACCTTTAACACATGTGTCATTTTATACACAACACTAGCCGATGTCGGGTGCAACTATCACCATGGCTGGCGATATCACCTTCGCCAAAACCACCAGTGCGTATCTTCTGCAGTAATCATTTTGGTTAGGTCCTTATTGAATTTATTACCAGGTGATGGCCCGTTATTTACCATCGACGGTGACGACATCACTTTCAATGGCGCTGGATATACATTTGATGTGATCAGCGTCAACTCATTTCTTGCCCTGTGGTAGTTAACCCCATCTCGCAGGGAAATGGCGCTGATTATTGGGATGGTGAAGGCACAGACGGTGGTGTCGACAAGCCTCATCCCCTCTTGAAGTAGGTTCTTTTCGTTTTATCGAGGCGCTCGTGGTCTGATGCTTTCATTAGATTCAAAGGCTCCGGCACATACTCCGATTTCACTGTGAGCCAGTCGCTCTTTCCTCCAGAATGCCGCTGAACGGGGAACAATAGGTCTTGAATACCCCCGCGCAGGCTATTTCCATCGGCAACAGTGACGGTCTCGTCTTTGACAGTATTACTGTACGTCTAATATTTCTTGTGTGCGCCCTATCAGGCTTACAAGTGCTTTCTAGGTCGACAACAGTGCCGGTGATACCGATGACCTCGGTCACAACACCGATGTGAGTAGAGGTAATGATCTTGGTGCGGAAAAAAAAACCGATGGTCTGCAGGGTTTCGATGTTTCCGCGGACGACGTGACTATCAAAAATTCGGTCGTGAAGAACCAGGACGATTGTATTGCTATTAACTCAGGCTCGACTATCGTGTACGCTACGTCATTCCATCTGTCAAACTGGTTTCTCATTGCGTCCATTAGGTTTGAGAATAACAAGTGCTCTGGGGGGCATGGTATCTCCATCGGTTCTATTGCCAGTGATGCGACCGTCTCCGACGTTACTATCTCTGGAAACACCGTTACCGACTCTATGTACGGATTCAGGTAAGGCCTTTCGTTGTCAGTTGTACCCGATTCCTGAGTGACACTTGCTATGTGCAGAATCAAGGTTGATGCCACGGCCACAGATGCCTCGGTGTCCGGTGTCACGTACTCTGGGTGAGGACTGCTCAATCTCTCACGACTTTGTGGAAAGCTAAAACCTGGTTTTTAAAGTAACACGCTTAGCGGCATCGACGAGTACGGTGTTCTGATTACCCAGTCGTACCCCGCTAATGATGGTACTCCCGGAACTGGCGGACCCATTTCGTGAGTCAGCTTCATTCAAGGAATCTGAGACCATGTTTGATGTCATTGATAGGGATATTAACTTTACTGGAAGCGCTACTACTATCGCGTGAGTCTCGTGCTGTGGATTCCTTCGGTCTTGTGTTCATGTGTTTCTTCTTATCTGCAGGGTTGGAGACGACGCTGAACGATTGGTCGTCGACTGTGGTGCCTGCTCTGGGTGAGCTTTGTGTTTGTGCCGCCTTCTCGCAGGAGTGTTGATGATATGACGCGATAGAACCTGGGATTTCGCCGAGTTGACGATAACTGGTGGTTCGGAAGGAAATGTTTCCAGTAATGATGCCACTGTACGGTTTTTTGTTCTCGCCTCTTCTTAATACTAACGCTAACATTAGATCTCCGGTGGATCGTATTAGGGTGAGGAATTTAGGATCCATTCAGTATTTTGTCAATTGAAATGTGTCATAGCATGTCTATGCATCCCTATTACTCGGAAACAATTAATATTACTCGAAGAGGATGTGCATCTTGCGCATTTTCCCCGTTGTTCGTATCCTGGCTTGTCCTCCCATCGGGAACCGACTTTGTAAGCATCGTGCATCGTCATCGATAGGAAGTTCCTGGTCGATCTGGTATAGTCTTTATGGTAGGTGCCCTTCCACAAAAGTTTGTCAGTTGGTAGGTCTCCACCGAGGTGGATTGCTGCGTGTCTGGCTTTATCCAGATTTATCAACATACGGCGTCGTTGTATCTGTCTAGATTGTGCTTTGGTTCGTTTTCTCGCTTACTTAGTGAGCGTGCTGTTGTTACGCGTTTCTTCGTGGTCACATTCTTGCTCATTTATGCTTACATACTGTAATCTATTAGGTAGTCCCTTGAACGCACAACTCACTCCCCAGACTTCACTCATTGGGGTTCTGGTACTAGTTCGAACCAGTCATCCTGTCCCAAGTCGTCGAAGCTACGCTCGATCTGTCCCATATATGAGAGGGATCAATCAACCCACCCAGAAAGATAGAATACCTGTGATCAAGCCGCCATAGGCTTCGCGACTCTTGAGCGCCACCAAGAAGGCCTCTGACTGGAAGATTTACTGTGACGGATCGCTTAAATGTCCCTCCAATACCATCAGAATTGAAATGGAGTATGAGGAAGATCTAATGGTGCCCGTTCGTCAAAGCGCCACGCAAAAACTCTTTCCTAAAGAAAATGAGTGGTGAGTACAATAGAAGACGCAGGACATACTTCAATAACTTCGCGCATCCATACATCTCAGCAACTGCTTGCGCTACATGACCCCTGAGGTCACCAGGCTTGGCTGCGGTCACAAAGAAACCAGTCGGCAAAACTCGACGGATGGTTGCCATCAACGGATCGTCCAGAATAGCAGCTTTAGTCATAGATGAGTCTACCGATCCAAGCTAACCAGCCAGCCATTCACTTACCGGCAACCTTTTCTTCTGCTACGACAGCAGAATAGTCTATCTGTCCCGCCAGCGTCGTACAAGTCGTTGGGTGGAGTACCCGCTGGGATAGTGTGTTCCATGTTCAGCACCATGCGCATGCCTGTTGGTACCATAGCAGATGTACAGAAGAAAAAAACGTCGATCCATGAGCGGGCGTTTGCCTCGGACTAAGAAGACGTAAGGAGATCAGTCAAGTAAAAGGGTTTCTTACACATCGTTTGTGGAACGAGCATTTCTAACCCATTCAAATGCCGATGAAGGTTGTCCGACGACCAGAGCTGATCTTGTCCAAAATGTCTGGTCTTCTCTGCGCGCTGCATGATCATTTTTGAGTTGAAGGTTTGAAGCCTGCTTGATACACAGATAACCCCCAAAATGTCTAGGGTGACATTCACGAAGCTAAATGACTGTAAAAGGTGAGAAGGAGGGAATTCGGTCACATAGATACACACTCCTTCAGACCTTCTAGCCTGGCTTCCATCAGAGACAGCAGCTTGTCCAACTGTTCCTCAAATGGTCTGCTCCTCTACAACCTCGTACCGGAATGTTTTCCGAAGGTCAATGAGAGAGCCATAAGCAATCGAAAGTTCGGCACCGCAGAGCCCGGAGAGTTTGCGCTTCTTGCCTATGGTGAAGATAGCTAGTTTAGGTGATTGTTGGCTCTACCATAATAGACATTGCACCACATGATTATCGGAAGCCTCTCAATGGAGAAACCTGGAGAATAGCATCGAGATGATGACATTCAGAACCTCCTGGAGGTGGTGGAAGAGGAGGATCATTGGGTCCAGTATTCTGAGATGGATTATGGCTATCCACAACAATTGGACTAACATGATTGCTTGAATGTGACTGAGGTTGTTGAAGATGAGCAGGAATATATTCTCAAGCTGGAGATGAAGTGGGGGCATGTCTTTGTTGACAACTCTGATTATGAGTCAATACAGATTCCAAATAAGGTGCAGGTTTGTGAAGGTTGTAGTCATTTAGCTGAGAATTCACTGTTCCAGCTGATGGTTGAGAGGATGGTACAGGAGGGGTATTACCATGTTCTTGATGGTTCAAACTGGGTCAAAGTGGCTTGAAAGGCTTAGAATAGTGATTAGAAGAGTCAGGGCTCAGATCCAGACAATCTGGAGTTGAATCCTGAGAATTGCTTGAAGAACTTTCATCTCCTGGATTTAAGTCTCATACAGCAGCTCCAGTATGGGTTTTAGATGTTAAAATAGTATCTGAGCATCACTGTCACAATTTTTCATTAGGAGTATGAATCTTACATCCCAAGAGAGCTTTACTCATCTTCTGTTTAGCCCTTGGGGTTGAGCCATCAGATGAAACATTGGAAACATTGGTTTTGACCTTAGAATGTCAAGGTACAAGTTCATGATGTGGAGAGACATATCTTGTATGGAAACATATACAAAACATGGATCATGTGGTACAAAGGATGAAGCACTGTGGAGAGACCTTCTCAGGACCAAAGACATACTTGTGTGTAGAGGAAATGACTGTGGTTGGTCATTTGTGTGCTTATGAAGGGAGGAAAATTGAGTCTGATAGAGTGGGAGTCATAAGTCAGTGAGGGTCTTGTAAACATCTGTCAGATGTATGAGCTTTCCTAGGGATGTGTGGTGTCTGTTGGAAGTTCATTAAGGACTATTCCAAATTTTCAGAACCACTAGTTAAATTGACAAGACTAAATGTACCTTTTGAGTAGGAAGAACAGCAGAAGGAAGCTATGGATGTGCTCAAGGAAGCAGTCATCAATAGCCCTGCTATTCAACCAATAAATCTCAATAGTGGTGCAGGAGTTGGCCTTTGTGTTGATACCTCCTATAAAGTGGTTGGCTTCTACATCTATCAAGTGGATGAGAAAGATTCTAGTAAGTGGTACTATGTGCACTTTGGATCAATTATGATGAATGAGAGGGAAGCAAGGTTTTCACAGCCAAGGTGAGAACTCTATGGCTTACTAAGGTAGATGACATCCATTGTCTGCCAATGTCACATGATCTTTTGTGACATGACCAAATTAGTTGACTCTCAAAGAAAAAGTTAAATATCTTTCTTTCTTGTATAGATATCTGCAACATAAAAATACAAATTGTGCATTAAAAGCTCAGAACTTTGGTCCCAGTAAGAATTTGGCCTGCAACTTCATGCAAACAGAGTAATTAACAGGTCTAGAGTTTCCACACTGATTTTTACATCAATATACATGTTGAGATGCATTGCCTGGCTTCTCAAGTATGGCCCAAAAGCTGAAATACATCCTTAAATGAATATCAAATGTTGAAAAAGCTGTAGCAGCCCTAAAATCTGGAGTCAAGCAGACAATAAAGCAATTGTTTTCCCAGAAAAAGAGAAGGAAGAAAAATGTAGGTATGTTTCACCTCTGATTACTTAGAAAGCTCACTAAGGCATGCTAGGATAATGATTCTATATATGAAAGACCATCTTTGATGTCCTGGCACCAAATGATGATGAATTCTTCACTATGCTGCTTGTCTACAATCTGACTAATGTTCCATTGTCTGCCAATGTCTGCTATAGCTATTTTGATGGAAACCCCTTATCTTCTGATGTCCCTCATGCTGCCTCCACTTAGTCTTTCCATAACTATGTACTATCAAAACCAAACCAGCCATCATATACAGTTGTCATTGAAGAAGACAATGCATCAGTTCTTGCTTTTCATTCTGGAAATGAAGACAATGCTGAATGATTCCACTAGCTCAGATGGGGATGAATCTGATATGAAAGACATTGAGATTGAGATCACAATGCATGCACTTCCTCTCCATGTTATGATTTTCTCTATATCTTTTTCTTTTCTTATCTTATCAGAGTGTCTATCTTATCTTGAGTGCTTTCTTGAAGGGTGTGGAAAGATTAGATAATCACAACAGACAGGGCACTATTGTACTTGGTCACCTTGCCCACAGACAATTTCCTATTGTCTCACCTCTGACAACCAGGCAGCATCAGTATCATAGAACAGAACAACACAATAGATAGTAGATATATTTATTATAAGCAGAATAGTATATAGGTAGGATAGCTCTTACTGTAGTAGTTCAGCTTCAAGCTATAAGTTTATCTCACACTATCTTCTCTTAATCCTAGCTTGTCTCTGGCCTTAAAGCACTATTACCTATCAGAACACTTGGAGTAGACTCTAGCATGACTGTACAAAGATGATATAACACTAGTTTATCACATGTTCAGATCATGTGCCAGTTAGATCTAACAGTTAGCTTGAAGCTTCCTGCTTTCCTTTCCTTATACACACTAGAGGTGAAGAAAACTGAATATTATCAACCTGCAACATCATATCTAACTTTGTCAAGCTCTTGAGCACTATTGTTGGCATCCTGCTTGGGCTTTTTGTTATTATATATCTTTGCCAAGAAAACCAGTCTATCACTGCCTGGGTAATCAGATATTACCAGGCTCTCTGAATAACTTACCATTAAACTCAAAATGTCACACCTGTCCTCTCCCTCTATGAGCTCTCTCTCAAACCTGTCCAAGTTACCAATAAGCCCACACAAGGAACTATACTGGAAGCTACCCCTGAGATCACAGATTTGGAACTTCTTCTAATAGAACAAGAAGAACACCAATATCACTGATGATACCACTGATGCATCTTCCATCACAACCTGCTGAACCTCCCTCTGGTCCCAGACCATGAGAATGAGAATCTCTCCAGTGACTTCTTTGATGCAGAACTATCTTCTGCCTTTTCCACTGCCCCTCTAGAGCATAGAATTAGAAGCCATGCTCAAGACTCTCTTGATGCTGCTAGAATGGCTACAGGCTCTGGCTACAATACTCTCTATATGACCTCTGACACACTTCTATCTGATCATGGCAACACCATGAGTTCCCACCCCAGTAACTGGAGC